CATTTCAAAGGAAGGAAAGGAGGAAAAGAGAAGAATGGTCAACAAAAGAAAGGCAAAACACATGTGTTGAGTCGCTTCCCGACGCCTGAGTCGCCTCCGGCGCCCTCCTGTCGTCCGGGTTCAACTGCGTTTGAGGTCTTTAAGCATGCTTATTCCGTGCATCACAAATGGCAGGACGGGTCGGGTATGGCAGAGTGCACCAGCACACGGTGAAACTTCGGTCAACAATTACTAGTAAGGCACTTGTTTCTAATAGCTTCTTGTTACTACTAGTAAGGCAGTTGTTACTAGAAGCGATGCACTTGTTACTAGTAGCTTCTTGCTTGTTTGTAGGACGGAGAAATCTACAGAAAAGGTCTTTTGCAAGAAGGAAAAGGTAGTCCAAAGTGTTCTTGCTACTCGTTAGAGGTACTCCAGGTAGGTCAGTTTAAGACAGATGTTTTTTGTTCGGTAGCTGTGAGTGTGCGTAATCCCCTGCATCAAGTCATCGCAAAGAGAATCTGGGTCTTGGACTCAACTACGCCTGGACCCTAGTAGCCATGCTTTTCTTAGACCTCTCTTTGTTCCTTCCTTTGTCCAAGGAATATCAAGCCGGGGGTCTGTCTTTTCACCTCGAGTGAAATTCCAGACCTGAAGACTTCGATGGTTCGATGGCCTTTCTTCCGTCGACTCGACAGGAGGTGACCTATTGGATTCGCACCTTTGCGAACAACCAGTGGATCGTCGAGGCAGAGTTGGGGAATGGTCAATGGCAGAACTCCTCCTTCTATTTGGCATTGACCAGCTCAAGTTGCCGAGGCTCGAAGCTGACGAAAAAGCAACCGATTTTTTCCAGGACGGCCCAACCAATGGAAGACCCACCCTTCAAGAGCATCCTCTCTCATCTGGATTTTGTGTTGTTTGAGGCACCGTCATGGTCATCGACGAGCTGGCGCTGCCCTTGCAACGGGCCTGGTGCCTCTTCGAGGTCCTGCAGACCCAGCTCCGTGCTACGCATCTCGTTTGCAGTCTACAAGTAGAGGAAAATGCAATACCAGGAACGCCAGTTGACCGTGAAAGCTTACAGGCCACTATTTTATGTCACCTTTCCTTGCTATGCCCAGTTTGCCTGTGTCAATCCCTTCAATACTTCCGTCATCATGATCAATGCGCCCTTTCAAGACTGGGGGAAAAAGAATGCCTTAAACATTTCTTAGCAAAATGCAGGAAAGAAAAGTTCCGAAAGAAATGACCTGAATCTGAAGTCTAGGTCTTACCGCTTTGAGACCTTCTTCAAACAATAAAGGACATGTTTTTTGTGGTTACCTGTGTTCATCATGTTATTTTGTTTGTTTCTTTTTAGACCTTAGACCGGTTTGTTTTCTTCCAGTTCTTCCTCTTTACAAGGGCTCTTCAAGAGAGAAGCTATGACAATTTGAGGACAGAGACTGCGAGTGCCTTTGAGGGCTTGGTACTCTGCACCTCTACAGGTGTCTTGCGGAACGGCCAGGGCGGTGTAGACGTGGCGATGGCCATTGCACGGCAGCTGGCGCAACTCGATCTCCGAGATGCCCAAGCCTCTGCAGAGAGCGATCGCTTGATGATCTATGCCTTGGTGGAACAAATGCCCGGGGGGTTCAATGCGCCTCAGCTTCGGTACTTCTTCCTTTCTACCTTTCTTCCTTTTGTTCCTCATTTGTTCAAGGAAGCTACTAGGAACAAGTGCATCGCTAGTAGTAACAAGTGCCTTACTACTAGTAACAATTAGAATTAGATTAAACTTAAATAGCTTCTTGTTACTACTAGTAAGGCACTTGTTACTACTAGCGAGGCACTTGTATTTACTAGCAAAGGAATGTACTAGGAAACGTGTTTCTCCATGTGTTCCTCTAGACTCTAGACTTTAGACCAGACTTGTCTTTCCTGTTTCTTACTGGAAACTTGCACAACAGGGTGAATAGTTGCTTTTGGGGGGGAGCCTTTAGTGGTCAACCGGAGAAATGGGTCTCAGCAGAGGCGGTCAACAGCTTCGTGCGGAAGTCCATCCGGAACTCCTTGTTGACAATGCACCAGCGTTTTGAGGAGGACTTTGCTCAGGTGCTTCTGTAAACCGAAAGGCTCCACGTAAAATGCAAACAAAAAGGCATCCGACATCCTTGTTTTGTGTGGTTTCTTTTCTGTTAGTTTTGATGCTATGTTGTATCCTTCTTTCATAAAACAAGAAAACGTTCAACAAACAGCTTGGCTTGTTAGACCTCATGAAGTGAACCACAAACTGACATGATGGAAATCAAGCTTCCAAAGGTAAGTGGGGTTGGGTCTGCGATAGTCTCGTATCTCTTCAGCAAAGAAGAGTGAGCTCATGAAGTGGTGGAGGGTTAGAGACGAGGTGCCCTGAGGTGCCCTTGCAGTTCGCAAATGCCTCCATGGCATGCCCCGCAGCCCAAACAGCAGCTGCGCACTCGCAGCATGCATACCTTCAATACAACCTGAGTGAGTCCTTAGCACAGCGTGAGCTTAATCAACTAAGTTCCACCGCCAATTTGGGAAGCGAGTCAGACATCCATTGAGTAATACTAATACTATTTAATATGCGTTTATAGTCAGTGTTTTTTTAAGCATGCACCTCCTGATGTCACCATGGTAGGAAGTCAACCTCGATTCATACCTCCGAATCATGCCACCTCTGTTCACTTCTCAACCCGACTACGCTAAACAAGACACACCCATTTCGAAGACATCGCTATTTAGGTTGGAGGCCATGCCACACTTCCTCACGACATACAAAAACATCCCTCTAAACAAGACTTCACCCAGGTGCTTTGCACACTCCAAGTGTCCAAAGCCATCAGCACCCCGCGAGAACGATGTGACAGCGAATATGGTATGCTGTTGGAGCACACGAAGTTCAGAGCTAGCAAGACATGTCCAATGCAATCCTTAGAATTGGTTTGAAGAGAGAGTTTTGAAGTTCGAACCTGCTGGGCTGAGCCGGAAATCAGGACTAGCTAGCTAAGCCTTTGGAATGGATCAACGACTGCTTTTTGGTCCCCAAACGTGGCTCATCCCAGAATTCATCACGCGATGGTTTGGGCAGCTCACCAGGTGTGAAAGCCTGGGCGGCTCTCATGTAAAGCATGTAAAGCCTGGGGACCGTTGTGACTCTGCCTAGTTGGTTCTATAGCATTGCAGGCAGAAACCCTTTGCCCTCAGAAAGCCATGAACGACTGATACATGATTGTAAACAAACAAACAAACAAACAACTAGGCTATTACAACGTTTGGCAAAACTTGCAAAGCTGGGTAGCTCGTTTAGGTTTCGTAAGTTTCGCCGGGGAGGGCTTGAACGATTGCTTTACCGAAAAAGGGCTTTTGATAGAGCGCCAGATAGAATCGCTTTGACTTCAAGCACATATTTTATTCAAACACAGGAAAGTTTACTATTTACTTATGTTCGAAGTCACCAAGTAAAACCACTGATATGTGTGATGGTGTTAGCAGCCCTGCCGTTTGATTTGCTTTCTCGACGTGTTTGCCTTTTGCATCTTGAGGCTACATGCGCCACAAAACCAAAAGACAGAAAATTACCGTGTTTCTGGAACACCACACATCTTAAACATGCATCAAGTTCGAGCCGAAACCGACGAAAGACAATGTTAGGTCCTGCTCGGCACAAAAACCATTGTCAATCTCGGTAACAAGTGCATCGCTTCTAGGAGCAAGGGCCTTACTAGTAGTAACAAGAAGCTACTAGGAGCAAGTGCATCGCTACTAGCAACAAAGAATCTCAATGGGTTTCAATGTTTTTTTAACTTTATGCTGCGCTTGCGACAATCGCTCAACAAAACATGTTTCCAACATGCCAAAAATGTGTGGCTTCATTACTTTTCTCAAGGCTGACATTTTGAAGACGTTTTTCCGTGTTGGTTTCGTAACCTCAAAGTTGCAGAGTGGACCAACTTACGTTCAAAGGACTAACCCCAAGGCTTTTGCAGGAGATTCGTCATGACACACTCGTGTTTGGTTTTAACACATTCAAAAGCTTTTATGCAGTCTCCGAAGAACTAGATTCCCAGCCGGTGCCCATCAGAACCCCACCGTTTCTTCTTGTCCATTCTCTGTGTCTTACCTTTTATTGGAACAATATCCAGACACAACAGGTTACACGCTCGAACTCAATTGATCATTCTTGTCTAGGAACAAGAAGCTACTAGTAAACAAAGGGCATCGCTACTAGGAGCAAGAAGCTACTAGTAGCTCCTGGCATTACTACTAGTAGCAAATAGCTACTAGGGACATTGTTTCCCTTGAAGTGATGCATCGAAAGGGTAACAAGAAAGGGGCAGGAAGCTTTGAGCATTGGATGTTGGAAATGTTCCAGTCGAGGCCAAACCCAACAAATGCATACTCCGCACCGTTGAGAAAAACAGAAGAGGGTTTCGAAGCTAGCACTTTGCTGGGGTGAGCCTGATTGGAACAGGCACCTTGCCAGGTCCATCGAATGGATCGACGGATCAATTGCTTTTTGGTCCCCAAACGTGGCTCATCCCAGAATTCATCACGCGATGGTTTGGGCGGCTCACCAGGTGTGAAAGCCTGGGCGGCTCTCATGTAAAGCATGTAAAGCCTGGGACCGTTGTGACTCTGCCTAGTTGGTTCTATGATTTGTTCGACCAGCTCGACAAAAGCGCACACCGGTGCTTCGGCTTGTTTGATTTGGTCATGGTGTTTTGCATGGGGTTAGGTTGACAAGTTCAACAGAAGAATCATGCGTTTGAGGCAAAGTAAGATCACCTAAGCCTCTTGTTTCACAAAGGTGGTGCAGCTGAGACCTGCTCTTGCTGCGGGGATTCTTGGAATTTGGTGTTTGGTCTTGCAATGTCTTCCATGTGTGACAGCATTGTCCTGGTTGAAGGCCAGGGTGAACAGTGCCATTCCAACTTCATGTTATTGTCCATTACTAGCACGGACGCGCTTTCGCCTCACGTGGGTTGAACCAGTTGAACCCCCCATTTTGCCAGGAGCTCTTGAAGATCAAGGTGCGGTCGTTGTCGGTGTTCGTCTGTGCTTTGAAGATGTAGCACATCGAAGGCCAAGGCTAGACTGATCTCCTTGAAGAACCTAGGATAAACTGAAAGGGAAAGAGAAAAAAGACGAAATCAGATGACGATAGAGGGCCTTGTTGAGGAGGATGTCAACCACACGTGCAAGAGAGATCTAACAGTCGTCACAAAAACCTCTCAATATATCACACCAATACATATGTGACAAGAAAGCTATTAGAAACAAGTGCCACGCTTCTAGTAACAAGTGCCTTACTAGTAGTAACAAGAAAGCTATTAATTTAATCTAAATTTAAATTCAATTCTAATAGTTTTCTGTTACTACTAGTAAGGCACCTGTTACTACTAGCGTGGCACTTGTTACTAGTAGTAACAAGTAGGAGACAAAACAGATTTGCTCGGTTTCGGTTCGAGATATCGCTTCCATTCTGCTCGCTCCCTCGAACCGGAATGAAGCCAAACCAAGTGGTGTCAGCCTTGGTGTGCGCAACTTGTTTAGCCCTTGGGCTGCAAAAGGTGCCACGAGCACTCTCGGTGTTTTTGCAGTCTAAACGAGGTTGAAATTCCGCTAACTTTGGCTGAAGACAACATAAAACGATCTATTCGGGGAGCCTTACAGAGTTAACATGAGTCAAACCCATTGGCAATCATGTTAGGGGGCCATCGCTAGTAGGTTTGGAACAAAATAGAGAAAGCGCACTTGGTGAGAACTGGATTGCATGTTGCAATTCTCGAGCAATCCAGATTGAGGTCTTGAGCGATGCTGAAGAGACATCCTCGTGTCTCAGGCTTCCAGACAGCTGTCACGGGCAAAAGCACCTTCTCCGAGGCAGTGAGCCAAGAGGTTGGGATGGTTACCCATGGGAGGCTCAGGAGATGTATTATGTGAAGGCACGGTTGATGGATTGGGACAATGATGATGATGCGGATGCTGTAGCAATCGACAAGAAGGATCTGCTCTTCTATGAACGTGTTGGAGAGGAGTTCTATCTACACAATCTCACCAACTTCCGTCTCCCTCAGAATGTGACGGAAGCAAGCCAACTTGATGTCGCAGACTGGGATGGTGACGGCATTCATGATTTGCTGTTCTTTGATCAAGCGGGCTTTCAAGTTTGGATGTCAAGGCGCTTGGCTGATGGAAGCTTTGAGCCACCAATTGCCTTGTTGTCGATTCGTGTTCCACCTCACACCTACGAGTCTGATGTCAAAGTTGATTTCTTTCAAGCGATCGATTGGGATGGAGATGGGGATTTAGATGTGCTGCTTGGAGGTTATTCCTTTGCAATCTACCTTGAGCATGCACATGGTGAGCTTGTCCAATGGGACAATGAAAGAAGCCCTTTCAAGCAGCTCTTTCAAGAGCCAGGAAAGACGCTGATGTTGATGCATGTGGTTGATTGGGATGCTGATGGCGACTTGGACGTGCTCGTATTCTACAATCGCAACCGATGCAATGGAGAAGGCTGCATCCACTTGAGACCAGTGGTATTTGTGGAACGTCTCGATGATGGGACATTGCTGCAGCATCACGATGTGCTGGCAACGGGGCTTGGTGATTACTTGCAAGCTGTTGATTGGAATGGAGATGGCCGTTTGGCTCTTTGGATTGCAATTGAAAAAGACAGAACACTGTCTGGGCTATTAAAGAATATTGAAGAGGCCCCTACCTTCTGTTGTTTTAATGTGCCTTCAATATGTTTTAAACAGTCCCCTCTTTAGCATGCACACTAACAAGAGAGTGAGGAACAGGTGTTCTACTCACAGATGCTGTGAGTCGAAACGTTTGCCAATGGTATTGTTCTTCTATGCAGAGCAATGGTTCCACGCTGCTGGGTCCCAACCCAATAGCGACGGCCTCCAACTTGGAACACGTGATTGGCTAGCGTAAAAAGCGGTTCCAGCTAGCCAGTGAAACGAAGCAGACTCAGTGAGAACCACTACGATTTCGCTGCGTCAGTGTCAGAATTCATCCTGCTTTGTACACGCAGTGTATGTTCTTTAAAAAAGAAGAAACAATGGCAAGGGCTTCCTTAGGCCCCTTTAAAGGGTGATACAAAGGAAATCCAAGGACTTGTGGGTGGATCGCTCACTTTACAACCGAAGCGTGGATCACTCATTGGTGGAGCGGGTTGGCAGAGAGAATCCCTTCTTACAGGGACACCTCAACGTCATCAACGGTGAATCTGGGCAGAGAAGGTTTTTGTGATCTTCAGGAACAGGAGGGCCGGGCTTTTGTGGGAGCTTATCCCCAATACTTGAAGGCCTCACACTGCCTTTTGCTGATGTTCTGGAAGAGTGTGAGCATTCCGACTCCGATTTGGGTCTCTTCGGGCGCCTTCATTAGGTCATCCTGGTTCGATGTGGCCAACTCCCGAAGAATAGAACACGACTACTGAAACTCATCATGTGTGTTGGATCAACCTTGACCCGTTGAGAACTCAGATTTTCAAATCCAACCGTCAATCCATGCTCTTACAAAACATCCTCTTGGTTTTCTGCCTGGGTGGGAATGGCCAACCGAGAGAGAATATCGGGATATTGCAAGACAAGACAAATGGCTAGAATGGCATGGCGCTCGATTTGGTCTTGGACTTGACTTATAATTGATTCAAGCAATCAATGCCTTTTTGAAACAAGTTCGTTCTTATTCCCCACATGCTAGTGAGGAGTTCTTACTTTTTCTTGGGTAATCCCGCCTCCTCCTCCTCCTCCACCAAGTCATACACTCGGGAAATGCGTACAGAACTCATTCCGGTTTGCCACCCGCCAGCCAAAGTAAAAAACCTAAGAAACCAGGACAGGGGGTAAGTGAGGTGGTCTGAACCTCCTCACAGTCTCAAAGTAAGGTTGATTGAACGTCCTCAAAACCTTCAAGTGCGACAAGTTGCAACTGCAAGTCGGTCAAGCTCACTAGAACGTCACTGCAGAACCAAAGCCAAGAGAGAGGTGTTGTTCTAGCTAAAGCAGGGACCAATGGAGAGTTTCCAAGTCAAAGCGAACAGGTACAAGTGGTTGATCAGACCACTCATCTACCGAAATGCCATAGTTTCGTTGGACTGGATAGGCAAAATCGGCTCCAGCCCCCCTGCTAGAAATGAACAAGAACAATGAGACCAAAAGGCCCTCTGTCTCTCCTCTCTCATCTCTCCTCTCCTCTCTCTGCTCTCCCACTCGCTCGCGCCCAAGCATGTCTTCGTTGAACGCTTCGGGTGCGGCCACCAGACCTTTATCGCCCACACAGACACTTCTGCAATTTGTGCAAGAACTCCTGAAGAACATTCCCAATAGTCTCGCCTTTCATTATTCTCTACCTGCTTGGCGGGTTTGTTCTCGTAGATTTCAATTTCTTCCCAAAGAAGTGATTTGCCATGGCACTTGACGCAAAAAGCATTTGCGCGTACGTGCCCCCAAAAACATACTGGATGGCGTCAGAAGAAAGAAAGATGGCTCTGGCCTGGCTGTCAGGAACCCACAGCTGCACCCGCTACTTCTGTAGCCCTTGAGGCAGGTGTTCTTTTTCGGCGCGGCAAGAGTGTGTTTGCTCAGGCCTACCTGCGCCTGTGCCCGCCACTCCCTTCGCCTTTTTCTGAAAAGTTGAACTGCCAAAGCCAAGTCAAGCCCTCAATTTTCAGGTCGAAGATGAGCCCGACAGGGCCACGACCAAGGCAGGTGCCTTTTCTTCTCAATCTTTCAATTTGTTTGCTGTGGCTCGGAGCCCGCATCTGTTCGGATGTCAGTAACGGCGACATAGACGAGTACACCGCCAAGAGGTTGTCGCGGGGTTTTGGTTAATTACCCAAACGGCGAAGATGCTCGAAAGAAGAGATCTCAGGAATAGCTGGATTTGAAGATATTGACAAGATTTCATGCAGCCATTCCACTTGGTGGAGGCGAAACCTGACGGAAAGAAATAGATCTGACAGAGAATTATTTGTGCATAGTGGCCTTTTGCCCAAGAGAGAGGCATCCTGTTCCTTACTTCTCGCCACGCTGTGGTTGAGATGTTGTGGCAAATGCTTGACTTCCAGTCTTAATTTGCCCCCTAAATCCTCTGAAATTGTAGTGGGCCACTCTTCAGGCGACAGCGGCGGGGGCAAAGCAGTGGAGGTGCCTTGACACACACACACACGCCCAAAAAACCGCCCAAGCCCTACGCGCTGCCGCAAATTTTGCTGTGTGAATTAGTGTCGGGGGTTTTCGCGGAACACGAAGACAACAACATTGAACGCAAATCCACGTTCGGCCTCAAAGCTCCACATGACGTCCCGTATCGTCTTTCAATGTTTGGTAGAACGAGCGCTGAATGTATCGTTTTGCAAGTTTTACATCTTTCGCGCGGTGGAATTTTGCAACCAACAATGAACGTACAGACAACAAATACAAATACAAACGCACAGACAACAAGACACAGGAAGCCCCATTATTCGTGATCATTCATGATCTGAGAGCGTCCTCTGCACACACTGGAAGTGTGACAAGCTCCGGGACAACAGCGCGGAGGGCTGCTCCAGCAAGCGCAACATGATCGTTCGCTGATCTGATCTCTGTCACCAGATTTGCCCATGGGGCACTGTCTGACGAGCTTCCCTTTTGCGCTCTCTCGTGTATCGTTGGGGTATCGATTTGGGGTATCGTTTTTTATGTTGATTTTTTGTATATTTTATGACGCGTGGTGCGTTAAAACCGACGGCGCCCAACCCAAAGACACCTGCCAATCTGCCGGATTTTGCCACGTCCAAACTTTCTTCGGGCGTTCAAAAAGCCCTCCTTTTTTTTCACACGGATCTTTTTCTTCTTCCTCCTCATCTTCTGCTTTCTGAAAGGAACCGGCGTGTTTGGCGTGTTTGGCGTCAAAGGCCAAAACAAGCATAACACTGCAAACCCCATTATGCCAAGGGCGACTGCCCAATTCGAAAAGGACCTGGGCAATATTGCCAGAAGTTTCAGCAAAAAGCTGAGACCTCATCTCTCGG